GTTCCAAAACCGAAACGATACGTGGATTGAAGGGTATGCTTCGAGGATAATCACAGAATAGAGCAGCCTGGTGTCGTTGTTTCAAAGAGTCGTTTTAGGCGGGACGAAGATTCTGGGAACTGAGGCGAGTTTGCAATAGCTGAGAAGGAAATCAACGCGGGGAAGAAGGAGGTGCATTCCCTAGACATAGTTATTAATCGGCGGCGGAGAAGTGAAGGTGTGGGAAGTCGAAGCACCGTGAGAGGAAGTCTGTGAAGTCGGGTGTGTTTTGAGGGGTGTGTTGAGGCGGGAGGCGGTTAAGAACGATCACGATGATCACTGGTGGAGGCGAAATTGTCTGTGTCATCAAGTGCCGTGTTTGGTCTGTTTGCTTCATTTGCCCAGTTTGATTTAGAACCTCGGAGATATAAATATCCGGATCGACGTAATTGCCGCTTATGTAAGACAGGCACCCACGGCTGCCATGACAGGTGGGACGGGTTCCAAGGTTGCTTATCGTGATACCAGTTTACTTCCGACGCCGAGCTGGGGATTATCTTTTAAGATTTGCGGAAGTAGCTTATTCTCTTTGCTGGTGAGTCTTCCGGCTGTGTATGACACAATGGAAACTAAACTAACATTCCCTAGTCGGCGGGGAGCCATCCTTGAAAGAGGAACCCAAAGAAAGCCTTGAGGCCAACCTCAACCAAAGCTCCGACCCCACGCTCAGATAACATCTCTTCTCGCGGCACTCGGTTTTGCATCCCAAACCTTCGTTGCTGCTGCCCAAATCATGGCGGACGTTGAAATGACAGACGCCCCCGTGGCACCAGCGAAATCGAAGCCCACAACTAAGAGCTCTAAATCAGGCACAGCTGAAGGTAGCTCTGACAAGAAGCGATTTGAGGTTAAAAAGGTATGATACACTGCCAAAGTACTACACTTCTCGCAAGCTTAACTGTGTAACGTTTCAGTGGAACGCCGTCGCGCTCTGGGCATGGGATATTGTTGTAGACAACTGTGCCATCTGTCGAAACCACATCATGGATCTCTGTAAGTGCTTTCTTTGCGAACGGTTAGTGGCTCCAGTATAGCTGACAACTATTCCCAGGTATCGAGTGTCAGGCGAACCAAGGGTCCTCAACAGCAGAAGAATGTACTGTTGCGTGGGGAATCTGCAATGTGCGTATCATCTCTTCGTTTTTGTTTTTCATTTGCTTCAGTATGAAAGCCCTGGCTAATTAGACTACTTTGCACCCATTACAGCATGCCTTCCATTTTCATTGCATTTCACGATGGTTGAGGACGAGACAAGTGTGCCCCTTAGATAACAGAGACTGGGAATTCCAGAAATATGGCCGATAAATGGCTATTCATTTCAACCACGTCTTACTACGACACGAACCGGTCCTTTACGTATTTGCTGCGGTAACGGAATCAAAGTTCTTCAGTAGCTACCCCTGAATTTTATTGCGGGTTATGGGTCGGTGTTACGGCGACATCACAGGTAACAAGGCAAGGAGTTTGAATATATGACTTCAAAACACTCAATCACGCAGTCCATATGCTGTAGACTTCTTTGCACTATTTCTTTCGATTCCCGCTTGCAGGGCGTATGTCGGTTTCTGCACTTCATTCACTGCAACCACTTCTCAGCAGTGCAGAGTCAATCTATTCATTCTGAGATCATAACATCAGAACTGACTGTATTTTGTGCCACATTCTTAAGCTCAACAATCCACAATATTTCAGCGCACTTTAGCATCCCCTACCACAATCCCACCCCCTCGCACCCCTCCCAGACCCGGGACCAGCCAGGGTTCTGGGTGCTTATTATAGATTGGCCACGGCGGCACGACTACAAATATCGTTACTAGCACTCCAACCGCCCCGATCAAGACTGTTACGAAGACATCTTGGTAGATATAACCGGCGATGAACCCGATGGCCTACACGTTGCGACATCAATAATCTAGCCAGATACGAGGTGATTGTGCGGAGTTCGAGATGGCGGAACGAAGAAAAAAATAAAGGGGGTAACATACACCGAAGACGACTAGTAGCACGTTTGTTAATATTTCAGCAAGCCACTGGCCATGGAAGTCCTATATTTGGTTTCCTAGTTAGGTTCCGTTTCGTCTCGAGGAGTAAGGGGAGCTCTTGGGAACTGGGGTCGTCAACGTACTATTTGGCCCTCGAAAATATCCTGCAAGGGACCGAGGATCTCATCCATTTTGACGAGTAATAACTAGTGGTTCGCCTTGTTTATTGGCGCGCATTGGATATCGGCGAGTCACCCTCGACCGTTGAGATCGGAAGCTTGAGATCTGGCATGAGGTCACATGTCAGGGTTGCTGTTGATTGGACCGGAGACTTAGCCCAACCAGGTCGCGGGCTTGGCGCTGAATAGAGCGGTGATGAAGGAGCCAGCCCTTGGAGATATATTTTACATTAATGGCTTTGTTTCTTAGGTATGACTGCCAGGAATCTCCTCAATGTATCTCTCAATGGTACCTCCGGGTTATGGAGTTTCGCTTGCTTGCATGGGATTCTCCCTTAGCACCAAGGTGCAGATTATCGCAAATGAATTTCGAATAGACCTCTCACCCTCTCTAGAGTTACTAAACAAATAACGGCTAAGTGCATAGACAAGGGCACATCAAGGCAAAACTTGGAAATGAGAGCGTCCGATGCGTCGGAGCTTACCTCCCTTTGGATGACCTCATTATCATTGACTATTTCCAATGAGCTTGTTGGCAGTGGCCCTGGACCTTTCTTTGAGATAGCTACCCCAGGTCTGTAATGTGGTGAAAGCCAGTTGACTCACTTTGCTTTATAAAGTCACGATCTCGCCGTCGAGTCCAACCGAGCTGCTAAAGATGAGCGATCACGATACCTCGTGCTCAGAATTAGCTAAGATCTTAATCAAATGGGAATATTCCCAATGGTCATAAATTTCCTTTTTCGGATTTCTTGCTCCTTCATTGGTGAATTATGGAGCATAATATCAAAGTTGAGACTGGTGTCGAGGTGCCTCCAAGTGCTCCGGGAAAAGAATTGGAAGGGACTTCTCAAGGGAACGCTTTCGATAAACCGCCAGAACACTGGATTTTCGAAGAATTAGAGCAGTTTGGTATCATAGGTGAGAGATACCCTCGGAGACTTCGTAATAAAAGTTGAATGATGCTGAAAGGTCCGCAGATGTTGAAAATCCGACAACTCCTGATCTACAGGGGCCAATACATCCGATTTTTCATCACGAAAGATGGCCTGAATTGAAAGAAAATACCAAGAGATATGATGTATTTAGGCCAAGCTTCATACTAGCAACAAAATTGCTTAAAGTGGCTGGGCCATTCCTGGCATCAATAATACCAACGCTAAGGCTGGATGCAAAAAGGGAATATGTTGTGCTGGAGAAAAGTGCTACTGATAATCAGTTACAAAAATGTTTCAAGCACCTTGAGATAATCGCGCAACACATGGAATGGAAAGAAGACGCCGTCATGTGGCCATCCCTTGGCCGCCAAGGGCTCACAGTTCCCCAGGATGCGGGAATAAAGCCGGACGAACCTGTCCGAGACGAAGAGGATGTTGAATGCTGGGAAGAATCGACAAAGAGGGATCAGGTTCAGGGACTTCCCTGTCGTAAGATGACAGTTTACCTTGCCACTCAATATGGGAACGCATTGGAGGACTTCAAAGGAAAGGAACAACCCACCATGAGATATTCGCAGGCCGTTTTTATGTGTGCAGTTACACTTGTGCATGAAATTGCTCATGTGGCATATGCAGCACGTTTTTCACACAGACCTTGGAGAGGGGAGCCTTTTATCAAGGGAGAGGCATTGCCTGAACTGGGGGTGAGTTTGATAGCTTTTCTGTTCAAAGGCTGGCTCCCTGAAAATATTAGTATGGATGCAACTGGTAAAGACGATTATTCGTTCAAATATGGTTGTTGCTGGTATAAACAGCGTTGCCATCCACGACGATACCCGCGATATACAACAGTGCATTCGATCCCCATGTCACACATTCAAAACATTTTGAGTCAAAGCGCGTGGGACAAATTCGACGAGGGCAACATATCATCGTATTCCATCAGAGTGCGCTCGCTCCTTTTAAGTCCTTGTTTACCCTTCCAAGCCGGACGTACGGCCCGTATCGCTAGAAAGGTTCAACGCTTTCGCGTGGATAGATCTCCCGCTTTGGGCCCATATTCCAATATTTGGGACTACCACGATCCCGACTGGGAGAACCTCGAGCTAAGAGTTAAGAAAGAGGAGCCGGCATGCTCTCCACTGATGCTTCCGGTCAAACTTGAAGCGCAAAGTAGGAGCATAAAGCCGGAGGCCGTTGGCGAGATGCCGGATGATGGTCCGTCACCGGACAATCGGCAAACGAGCGCATCCAAATGGTCTGCAACTTCTTCTCCTGTTAACCTTTGGTTAATTCCAGCTGCGAGTGAACCGCCATCTCCATCCCCGATAGAAGAAATGCAGCCAAACTTGGCACGTAATGGCCAAGGAGACTGTGTAAAATGCGAAAGTGCGAACGGCGGCGAAATTGGTGACATTTGTGACATTGGAACCGGGCATAAGGAGCTGGTAACTACCAACCAGCGACCAACTGTCTCCAGTAGCACAAGCTCGTACTGGGAGAACCTCACAGATGCCACTCCAAATCTCACAGGCGTTATTAGTGCCACATCCAGCAAGTCGAGAGCCCGTCGAAGCCAGTGTCCAAGTCCGCCAAGACACCGCGACAGTGCAAGCCGTGGAAGACATCGGCACCACATCTACAACCAAGCTTCCGTGGAAGACAGCCATTGGCAGCGAGGCGGCGGAAACGATAGCGGCATCACACAACACTACATGCAACGCTTCGCTACGATGCCACCTGTGGCTGCACGGGTTTTAATTCGACAACCAGCAGATACTGCGGTGCAAAGAAGGAGCAGAAGGCTGCAAGGCCTAGAACCCGAGATGCCTGAAGGCCTTCAAGAGCCGAAAAGGCGGAGGGTTGTGCGACATTAGATCTCAAACAAAGAGCGGCTGCATTATTGGCCAAAGCTCATAAAGAAGCTGCAGGTAAATTGCTTGGACAGGTGGTTTTCCTGATCTTCGGGATGCATATGCTTGGGGTGAAAGAAGGGCGGTGGATGGCTCAAAATCCTCCGCAAACTCTAGGAGATAATCTTTGCTCAAGAACCTCTGACGTACGGAGGATGTAACTATGATTGTAGCAAAGCGAAGAAGGAATCATAATGACGGGCTTGGGAAGCCAATTGCACCATCCCCAGGGTCGCATGCTCTGTCCTCCCGCCGCCGTTCTCCAGCCATCTGATCTCATCCAAAGCGCAGTAGCCCGGACTTGGCATGGCCTGTTCTTCGACGAAATCCCTGACCGTCTGTCAGTCTGATGAGCCGAGAAGAAACGCAGTGGCGAGTGGAACCAGCCAAGGCCTTTGCAAGGGCAATTGAACGCGACTCGGCAGTCAAAGTCATGAGGCTTGCAACTGTTGCTTACAGGGATCGCCACCAGCATCAAAGGGCTTTTTGCCAACTGAAGTTCAATCACATTCCCAGGCCACCGCTGGCGATTTGAAGAGCCAACTTTTGACAGCCACTGCCAGTCCGGCTTCGAGCGGCAACGAAAGCTGCCTGGACAGGTTAGACCAGCACAGTAATCCGCCTGGCCGCCGTCCGTAGTCAGCGTAGTTGCAGTGCCGCCTGGGAACCGCCGTTAGTCATCGACGGCTTACATAACACCGACCGTCGACGTCCGCTCTCGAAATTTCCCCCCCAGAAAAACCTCACGATCTCTTCCTCCAGCTCCTGCTCCACTTGCTTGCTGCAGACTTTTCTTCTGTCTGTTCAACCACTCTCTGACTGCACCAGTCAAACCCTCCCTATCTTTGTTCCCTCTGTAAGTCTGTCGCTCGAGGTTCCATCGCTTCTCCCGTCCCCGGCCGGTTTGAGAATCAGTGCCTCTGTCGCTGGGACTTCGGCAGGCAGTCTCGTTCCGACTCTCTCGCCCTCACATCAACCCTGGGGCTCTTCAGCTCCTATTCGGCCAAAACATTCAAGTTGGCGGGGATTAACTACGCCCAGTACTCTTTCATTCACCCTCTTCTAGGCCCAAAGTTCAGGGTCTTCGGCGGGGGAGACACTCGACCCCCATAACTGGGCTTCAGCACTATATGCGATTTGGCTGCCGAATAGGTGCACAGCAGATACAGCCGGCCCTTTCCCGAGGGTCAGGCTGAAGTACATAGGGCCAGGGACGCTGTTTCGCGACAAGCTCCCAGCCACTAACCGTTTTGGATAATCCGGACGAGTGAGCGCTTCCGGGCGTTCGCTCCCCCCCCCCCCTTCCCACCCACTGTGATACTCAGATCACCTGTTTCGTCGCACGGCAGAGAAGTCCCGTTTTACTGCATTGCAAGATGAGCGAATCACCGAGATCCGACAAGTGCCAGACCAGGTATAGCACACCCGTCCCCGAACTCGACGACCATCGCTTTCAACCAGAGTCCTTGCCGAGAGCAGACACCATCGAAAGTACCACAAATAGGCCAATTATCCCGCAGGTCGTCACCTCTCAGCCAGATGAGCCGCCAACTCTCAACCACGTGCAGGAAGCGTTGCTCGACGGCTCCCTAAAAGTGCGGGATTTTGAACATGCCATTGTCGATGATGATGATCAGTCGATCCAAGAATTTGAACGCATTGGAGGGCGACGGATGTCAGTGAGCCCTGCAGCCGTTCGATCCCACAGACGCAACCGAACCAATCAAGACACGGCGTCAATTGCTTCATCCAGGTCATCCTCGCCGCCAAACTCGGTGGATGCATTTGCGGAACCTCGTCGGCGTGAACGCGCAAATACCCTTGAAAGTCATTGCCCAGCCGATCTTGAGGCTCTCTTGCACCGGACTGTGTCTGCTGGCACGCATCACCGGCGGCCCACCTTCAGTAATGAAAGTGTCATTCGGGCGGATAGTGTAGACCCGCGGGTCAATATGGGTGAGGGTGGAGACGTATGCTTCCCAGCACATGAAGAATCCAGAAAATCGTCGCTTATCGATTTCGAAGAACTCGAAGAATTTGTAGCCCTTTCGAAAAGGGCGACTCCGCCAACGAATGGGACCAGCAGACGTAAGCATAGTATGAGCTCGCAAAGCAAGCATCCCCGAATATTCCACGATTTGCGACCCCAAGCGCACAAAACGGACGATTCCAATATTGCTGTGCAGTCGGGAAGTCCTCTGGAGTCTTCATCTGAGTTTGTTGACAAGGCAGATGCAGTTGCAAGAGAACTTGGTGGGGCGCCGGTGGATGTTGTTGATGAGAAGAGACTTTTTGAAGTGCTCCAGAATGAAAACGACCCCACGCGCTTTAGCTTCTTCTCTTCTGAATTTGAAAGCACCATTCATGCCGCTGAGCTGGGTGATTTGGTGCTCCCGGGTGACAGTTTCCGTGACCTTTTCGAACTTGGTCCTGAAGGAGGAGTGTGGTGGTTGGATGTCATCAACCCTAACAAAGAAGAGCTTGGGGCGATTTGCCGCGCCTTTTCCATCCATCCTCTCACCGCTGAGGACATCATAACCCAAGAGGCACGCGAGAAGGTTGAATTGTTCAAGCTGTACTATTTTGTCTGCTTCCGCACCTTCTATCAGATTGACAAGTCAAGTGAACACTACCTGGAACCTGTTAATGTCTATATGGTTGTGTTCCGTGAGGGTGTACTTTCCTTCTCATTTACTGATAACCCACATGCTGCAAACGTCCGCAAGAGGATTGGGAAATTGAGAGAGTATGTCTCACTCAGCAGTGACTGGATTTGCTATGCCATGATGTAAGCGCCCCTTGGTTTCGTGATCATATGATACGCAGGCTAACATCGTCCCAGCGACGACATTGTTGACAGCTTTGGTCCCGTAATTCGCGACGTGGAGAGAGAATCTGAGGCGATTGAAGATCATGTTTATGTTGCCCGCGTGGAAGACTTTGAGGCTTTTCTACCGCAAATTGGTGGACTTCGAAAGAAAGTTATGAGTTTGATGCGATTGCTAGGCGGCAAAGCGGATGTCATTCGAGGCTTCTCCAAACGCTGCAACGAACAATACTCGGTGACTCCGCGCGGTGATATTGGTCTATACCTCGGTGACATTCAGGACCACGTCGTTACCATGATGTCGAATCTCGGCCACTTTGAAAAGATGCTCAGCAGATCCCACAGCAACTATCTGGCACAGTTGAATGTGACAAATATCATGTTGGGCAATGATGTGAATCGGATCCTGAGCAAGATTACCTTCCTGGGTAGTATCTTGGTCCCATTGAATTTGATTTGCGGTCTCTTTGGAATGAACGTCCCTGTGCCTGGCGGTGGCGGAGGTAGTTTGACATGGTTCTTTGGCATCCTTGGTGTCATCGGTGCCATCATGATCACCAGTGTTGTGTTGGCACGGCGGTTTAGACTGCTGTGAACCATGACTGCGTATCTCATGGGATGCTGGCCTTCATTTGATTCTATTCTTGAACATTTTTTGTTGCCCGCCTATAATGCTAGTAAAATTGTGTTTATTTTTCGTGCTTATATTATCTTTGATCGTGGTTGTAATTAATTATTCAGTTGCTAGTCATTTTCGCAGTCATACACTAAAAGCTGCTGATAAAAATGCTTGGTCTCTACCTAGTATCAAAATCTCATCATTGACGACCCAATACCGTAAGAAGCACCCGGTATACCATAGAAAACCGTACGCCGCAGGCCGTGTTTACTCCGTGAATTCCGTGACCGTTCTAGTCCATCAAGATATCTTTGGCCGCTTCATACTAGACCCGTTGAATGCATTCATTTCCCTCGCGCGTTTCCGTTCCATATCCTCTTTCATAACTCGTTCAATGGCGCTTAACGGCTTGCGTGGCGGTTCGGCTTTCTTGGAAGGTGCTCCCTTTTTCGACATTGACGAGAAGACATTCTTCGGCTTCGAACTGGAAGTTCCAAACCCAAGCTTAATGGCGGGTTTCTGAGCCTGAGTCGGAGGTTCCGGCGCGGGCGTAGGCGCGGGTGTCGACTCTGACGAAGGGGTTTCCAATTTCCTTGCGTCGGATCCACTGTCTATCTTTGACTGATCCGATTTTTCGGAGGCGAATGGGGACCGCGACCTTGGCTGCGTTGCGGCCTTTGATGAGAAATTCAGTTTAATTTTCTCTCCCTCGATTCGCTGTAATTCCTTTGCTGCCTCTGACATGCTTTCATCCTCAGCACCTGCAGCCCCTTTATCCTTTTGAGCCCTTTTAATCTGGTTTTCGATCAATTTCTTTTCTCTCGCCTCGTCGCCGCGATCTTGTCTGTCCCTCTTTCGAATCGCGTCCTGCCGTCTCAGCGCTTCCGGGCTATTATCAATCCATGAGATGAATATGCCCTTCTCCCCTTCTTCCACTCGGCATATTCCTTCACGGCCCAAATATTTCGCAAACTCCGTCAGACTCGACCATTTCGTGGCATTCATATGAATATGCTCCTTGTTGGCAATGTACTCCTGGTAGAAATGATTGATTTGAACCTGCTTTTCGCCATGGGACGTCTTTAGCAGCTGGATAAAATCTTTCTGGAAATCATTCGAGTAGCCCTGGATGTACTTTTTTGGGTCTTCGCCCACGAGGAGCATTTGACGGACATGCGACTCGGACTGCGTGTGGCACTTGAAGCCGTTCTCATCGCGCATCTGCCGTTGGCAAACTTGACAGTACCATCGTAAACGCTGAAGGCCCTTGGATTTCAGCCTGTTGGCGATATATTTCGTGCTTCCAACTTCTGCGCGCGGCATGATGGTGTGTGGTTCAAAGAATTCCAAGCGCAAGACAGCGACATCGTCAGGTTGGCGCCGAAGATGGGCGGAGTGGCAGGTGTGATGACTAAACAGCGCCACTGTGGCTGAGTCAGGGGCTGCTAAATATAACTTATCTAGATATTACGTGATAATTTTGAGACTCGACCGCTTCTGGTTGCCTTCAGAGTCAACTCCAGGTTGATTGCTTTTGAGGTCGAGGTTGATCCTGGGCTCGTTACCCCAAGCAAATCAGAAGGAGGATCTACCGCCATGAATATGCGCTCGATATAGCCACCTTCAACGGGAAGCCCAATGGAATTGTCCTTAGTCAACAATCTGAAACCAGCCTGGAGAACACTCTATGCCTTTCTATCCTCGAAGCTTTTGAAGGCATCAACTGACATGCGAGCCGGAACCCGGCCTGACCTCCTTTGACCTCCGGTTTGGTCACTCATTTTTAGCTCTGTGCTCCGTTCTTGACGCTCGCTTCTCGAATGCCTTGTCCGAAACTCACTCCTCTCCAGGCTCGATTCGCCGCCTGTCTAGCAGCCACCCTCTTTCTCCTTTTCCTCTACCTCGTTCCCTTAAATATACGGTTCGCGTATGCGATTGACGTCGATTCGATAATACGCGAAGACCATAACCACCCTATTCTATTAGACTTGGACATACCGTTGGGACTGTTGGGTCCAAAGCCTGTGAATGTGGTATCTGAGGACAATGTTACTCTGGCAAAAAGAGCGCCCGATGGGACTGATGCACTCGCCAACAATGAGCCGCGACTAAAGAATATCGATATGGGGGAAACCCAACACTGGGTTATCCCGAAAGAGGTTGTGACAGGTCCAAAGTCTCCGTCGACTCCAGGACTCCCGGCATTTGTGCGATCGAATGACGAGGCTACGCAGTCAGATCGGAGTTCATTCCAAGAGGATATGAAGCCTGACGGTGATCTGTCTCGCCGAGCAACCGTTGTCTACGTTACAGTGAACACTTGTATTCAACCCTCTTTGAATACAACCCAACGATCGGATGATTCTTCCCCGCCACAGCTTCGACTGTTTTACTCACAAGATAGCTCCGTGAAAGAACCTGGCCCCAATACTCCTAATGTCAGATCCGTTGATCTTGATGATGGCTTTGCTTCTGTTGAAATCGAAGCCGAAGGAGATGTGTATATCGGTATCTTTGCTCCCACACATCAGAGATATGGCGGGATATACAACTATGAAGTTGCGGCTTCTGTAGACGCGCCTTTCCACAGCCTGGAGCCCGACACACCTTTCCTATATTTTGTTGACAGTGACAACAAAGCGGCATTGCTTCAAACCAATGCTACGACAGAAGCTAAACAGGGTGCCCAGTCATACACAGATTGGATGAACCTCAACCCTCCTCCATTCACAATGTTTGCCCATAACATGAATCACTCAGCTATTCTTGGGATTCAAAAGTCCTATTGTGGACTTAGCAAAAATGCCCAGATAGGACGAATGGGGAGCAACATCAAAGCCAAAATGATAGATAGAGGACTGAAGCCGAAGGAACAATTTTATGTTACAGGACTTAATCAGAGCTCAAGGTACTACGGGATTCTAGCTATGAGCGGGAACTCAACCGCGTCAGGAAACGGGGTTGTCGGTGGAGGCGGCAAGGTCTGGAAAACGATGAATTTTACCACTAAATCAGGTGAATCCCCAGCTGGGTTGCAACCTGTCTATCTATTCTAACATTCGATTTAGATGATAATTGCGCCATTGTGTATGACCTTGAGTTCTGCCGCGAAGTTGCCTATGCCGTTCCTTCAAATAACGCTCTTAACATTTCTGAGCTCAAGACCATATACGATAACTACGCCGCCAGCGTTTATGAAAATTTCACATTCTCTCTTGCTCAAATTCCATGCAATACTTCTTCGACCTCGATGTATTCTCTAGCGCGGGGTTGCAAGGACTGTGAGAAAGCATACAAGAGTTGGCTTTGTGCCGTTACGATCCCTCGTTGCCAGGACTTTTCGAGCACCCTTCCTTTTCTCCTCCCTCGCAATACAGGCCAAGCTTTTCTAAACGGAACTATCTTGCCAGAAGATAACGAGTTGCGGCAAAACGTCCTGACAAACTCTTCTCGTAACCCCCTAATCGACTCCAAGATCAAACCGGGGCCGTATAAAGAGGTGCTACCGTGCCGTGAGGTCTGCTATGATTTAGTACAAAGTTGCCCTAGCGCACTTGGCTTTGTCTGTCCAACGAAACAATGGCTGAACAATTCTTACGGGATGATGAGTGAAAACGGCGATGTTACTTGTAGTTACTTGGGGGCTGCTTACTTTATGAAAGGCGCTGCGTCGAGGATCGGGAGCATGGGGGCAAGCATGGGTCTTGTTTTGAGCTTCTGGGCTTTAGTCTGGGGACTTTATGCTTGACTTAATTAATTTCTCTTTTCTCTTTCTTTTTATTTATTATCGGCCTTTGCATTCCTTTCTTTTCTGGATGACCCTGCGTAAATACTGTCACCGGTTCTCATATTGTCTTATCGGTTTCACTCTATATTATCTGTGCATAGAACGTTTTCTCGAACTATTGGCTTGAACGCCATTGGGAGGATCCCTAGTAATATTGTTGTATAGAATATTGGATAAAACAGAGAAAATAGAACTCAACGGCTGTCTAAATCTGCTTTCACGCAGAATATCCAGTCGACTTCAGTCCATTTTATAGTTTAGGAGCAGAAAAAGTATTATCATCCAGGGGTATCTCCGCTTATTCTCCAGACTTTAGGCCAAATCTAGCCCATAAAAACCCAAGCAATCCTATTTACTCCTCCTAGGAGTCGGCGTCCACATGTTCTTTAAAAGCGTTCCGCCAGCACCCCCCAACTCCGCCCTCCGGGGAGTGCTATTCCCCACGCTTGCCCACAGCCTTTGTCCTGCAGGCGTTAAACCAGCCTTACTCGTTCCGGCTCCGCCACCCGGTGTCCTCCCTCCGAATCCCACCATGGGACTACTAGGAAATCTTGGAACCGGCGTCTTCGTGATGCTAGCGGTCTTTTCAACACGCTTAGTCCTCGCGACACGTTCAACCATGCGATGGTGCAAAGCTTCACGACGGCGGGTTTCTTGCAGTTTGAAAGGATTTGGGGTGGACGATGCGGATGCAGCCAAGAATCTAAGGTGCGGGTCTTCGTCGTCTGAAGTTGGTTCAACGGAGGCAGGCTGTGGCTCCGGTTCATCTTCGTCGACGAACGCATAGCCGTTTACTCGAGGTGTTTCACCGCCAGTGAAACCGGGCTCCGAATCTGTGGGCCGTGGCCGGCCAGCAATGGCATCGCGAATGGCGGAAATTGAGGGTGATGGCGGGGGTGCATTGAGGGTATCATTGCTTGCGGGTGATATGGGTTCGACCCTCGTGTTATGATATAGAACTCGTTTCGGCCCAGCGCGCGAAGCGGCTTCAGCTTTTTGTTGCACAGTCTCATGCGTATCTTCCACCGACGAAGGGGTAAACATCAATGGATTTTCAGCCTTTGGTTTCCACGCATCCGGTCTCGCGGGTCGGGCATCAAGATCCGTCTTGATAAGCTCCCTACTTCCCTCTATCCTCTTCTGGCCCTCTAACCTTTCCGACTCTTTCCGCCGGTAGGCAATCTGCCTTGCAGTCGGAATCTTATTCCCACTCCACATCCACGCATATTTCTCCGCTCGCTTCTCATTCTGCCGATCAAGAAGCTTATTAAACGACTCGTTATCCTCGCTTGTATATTTCGCCTGAAACGCGCCGAGACTCATGTTGGCCGCATCAATCTTCATCGTACTTTCCGTCATCGTAGTTTGGGATGAGGATACGGCGGAGGACACAGAAATCGGCGTATCCCCGCCCCACTGCCTGGGCGTATCCTCCGGCCGCTGGGTGCGCATCGGAGTGGACAAGCTCACGCCTCGCCGGCCCTGTCGACCGGGGGTCATGACTTCCGACAATCTGCGCCCTGCGGCAGCGATCCATTGTTTATCTTTCGAATCTAAGGCATCGAGGTAATCTTGCTGGGTTTGCGTTTCAAGAAGCCCGGGGAAGAAGTCCCTTGCGATGATGTGCGACAGTGCATCGGTATAGTCGTCTTCGTCAAGAACTTTTGGCGGGCGTTTGATGCGCTTCAAGGGCGGAGGTGGCATCAGGTCAGTATCCGAGCTCCGCTTAACTAGCGCATTTGATGTAGGTGAGGAAGCCATGGCTGTTTTCTGGATGATCTCTCCTACCAAACGACTAGAAGGGTCTTCCTTGATGTCGCCGTTGGCGATGGAGTGAAGCTCAAGGTCATGGCGGCTTGCCATCCCGGAATTGATGAGCTAAGCCAAACCAGATTATGTCATCATTACGTCACAATGCAAACAAGCACCTGATCAAAGCAAACCAGTCGATTGCGATTGACTATTTAAACAACCTCCAGCTTCAGTCCTACCGACTTCTGCATAACAGCTCCCATCCTCCCGCTTAACAACACCCTCCTTCCGTTCATCTCCCGACTTTCGTTCACCATAACACAGCTTTCCGCCCCTTCAGGATCCTACTTTTCCCAAAAAACGAGTGTAAACCAAGTGATGCAACAGCCCAACATGCCAACGACAGATTCAAAACAAAATGCAGAAAATAGACACCAGCAAAAATAAACCGCTTTCCAAAATCCGTCCGGTGTCTATGTTTAGTTTTAAGAACCCACCAATGCAAAAAGGAAATGAGAAAAGGAAGCGCAGAAACAAGGCTGCGATGGGAGGGTTGCGTCGACAGATCCACATTGACAAGATCAAGTTGAAAGTGTCAGGATGAGAAAGGAAAATCGTGTGACCGTTGATGCGCCTGGCGATGAGCCGAAAGCACCGTCTAGATGGTTTTGATACAAAAAGGAAATAGAAAAAGGCGGAAGGACTATGGGATATCAAGGCCGCGCATTCGAAGCGCGACCACCAAAATCTCTAGCCCAAGGTGGGTGAAACAGGCTATTCCGTACATCGGAAGAAAAGCCAGGGATAATAAAATAAAACAATAGCGAAAGACATTACCAGAAGGTCCGGCGAAAATATATGCCAAAATATGTGGATCATCAAGTCGTACAGCGTTGAAAGATTTGATAAACGAGAAAGCAGCCTCCACGGTTTCTCCGTAAAGAGAAGCCGTATCAAAGAAAATAAAAGGGACCGGGGAAGCGAACGCGTGAATAAAGAGAAGCAACCAATTATCTGAAACAAAAAGAGCAATTCTGACCATTGTCAGGTTCTTTTCTTCTTTTCTTTTTTTTTTTTTTGTTGCGGGATAGCAGACAACTTGATGCAAGATCAAAATGCATCAAGAAAGGGCTTTATTTGGGTGTAGGTGGGTCAGCGGTCGGGAACAAAGAGTATGAAGTCCGTGTTTTGCGGTGGTTTGCCCCCCGACTTAAAGCTGGTGGTCGATTTCTCAGGGCTGGGCCACCATGCTTGGAGGTGTCGAAAGTGTCAAGGATGGATGCTGATTTGGCACGATCATGAAAAGGGGCTAGAGGGACAGAAGGCTTCTCGAAGCTTTGCGTGTCGCTGGAAGTCCCCGCTGTAGTACGGACGACGTCTCGAGCCAGACTGCTACACCGGGCGTGGATGCCAGGTGCGGGAGATCGAGGTGCAAAGACCTTTACCTGTTCGACTGCGCCATTTGAGGCTTCGCGGTTAACGGTCTCACGGCTGCCATTCGGGCTATGAATTAAATCCGGCACGCTGTTGGTTGATGTGGATGAACGGTGCTTTCTGGCGATGGACGCTGCGCGAGACAAGATCATGCTCTCTTGAGAATTGCACTTGCTGAGCGGCGAGCAGCTGTTGCGCGTGGATGCGGTTGAGTCATCTGGCTGCGCATAGACAACTTCCTCGTCACTCTCTTGGATGTCAGGCATCATACCTCCGTACATCGGCGACGGCGAGAGTCTATCTTCAAGTGGAGGCCCAAGGACCTGGAAGACATCAGACTTATATTTACGCAGCTTTTTTCCGGGAGAGTTAAAATATTCAAAAGTGTTTCCCGATCCAGGGCTGACGCTGCCGGGACGCGGGAAAGACAGTGATAACTGCGGTTCTGGCGTGGTTGGAATGGACTTGGATTCCTCAAAGGGCCCAAAGCTCTGAAATGGACCGAGCCGCTGCGGACACTCATGGCTGGGAGCTGTCACATCTGTCTCTCTGAGCGAAGTTGCAGCCAGACGTTCTTCGACTTCCTCAAAGGACACTCGCTGCCAATCAAAGTTTGAATTCGATTCCGCTGCGTGTTCATAGCAGTAATCGATGTCATCTTCCCACGAGTCTTCCAGGACACGGTCTATCTCCACCGAGGGCTCTTGGTTGGGCCGCAGAGTGTTGGTGGCGCGCAGTTGCTTATGGTTACTCTCCGGACTAGCGATTATGGGTGAGTGGGCATCATCTGCGCCAGGCACCGAGTCCACCGTCAGCAGATACAATGGTTGATGATGCAATTTAGCCGGCGAGTCCGCTCGTCCCGTGACCTGGGTGCGGCTGTTGCGCCAAGACTCGTTTTCTTCTGGAATGTTGGCCAGCCCCGACACGTGATCGACGGGGGACGGCCCCGGGATCTTTGGGCTGTAGTCGTCGGTGGTGTAGGCGTGAACGATTTCGTCTGGAAACTGTCGCGTGGCCTCAAAGTGAGAGGGATACTGTTCTTGGCCTGTGGATGGAGAGTCGATGCCCAACAACGCATCGATGGTCAGGGAGGTCGGGTCGGCCGGCCGGGAACATGCAGATCTAGATGAGACGCGAGGCGGCGGTATGATGCAAGGTGCCGATGTTGGCTTATTCGTCCTCGAGACCGGACGAGAGAAGTTCTCGACCGAACGGGAAGCTCGGCTGTGGTTCAGCAGTCTCGGTGAACTAGGTGTCATTGTGCGGATGGGCGAATGCGGTGGGCTTCTTGTGTATAGGGATTGCGAATCAGGGGCCAATGTCGAAAGGTTTGTTGTCGACAAGTCGTCTGAAGAGCAGTTTCGGTAAAAGAGGCTTTCAGCTCGGATGCCCTTGAGCTGTGAGCCGGGTCGCTGGGATGCTCGGATTATGGAAAACTCGGTGGCCAAGTCGTGCGGATGCGTGTATTCGATGGGAGGCAATTGGCTCTGGCTGGTGTGGGTAACGTGCTGGAAGTTGAATGGCTCAGAGATGTTTTTTCTCACAAATTCCTCTACCGAAAAGAAGTCGAGTTAGCTGAGGGGAAAGGAGCAACGCTTTCGGAGAATTGGGAGGAGGGGGGAGATTCCACGTACGTATGTCACTATATCTTGACCTGTGGCTCCGATGGAACAGACCTGGCCCATTCTGTTTTTCCTTCTCTTTCGACCCAAGTATATCCCTACTTCTCTCCCTGCTCCTGACCTTAACCATCTCTTCTTCCTGCTCCAACACCAGGGACACAAGGCTGGCTTTGCTTCCCTGACGCTTCAGGATACGGCTGCCACGAGAGAGCAACGACTTTGTGAGGCTTTCTTTTTCCGCAGGCGAGAAGAACGAGGACAACGAACGGCCGTCCTGAGAAGACCTCCGTGATGAAGCATCAATTGAAGTCATTGACGAAGCAGGAGACTGGTAGGAAGAGGAGGTTGAGGTGGCAGTGTTGCTGCGAGACCGATTCCTAAAGACCGAAAACCGCTTCGGGCTGTGGGTTCTGGAGCGTAGTCGGATACCTGCAGAAATGTCTGGCAAGGTTGAGGGTGATGACACGGAAGAGGGGGTCTGTCGACAGATACGGTCATTATAGAATGAGGAGGCAAGGAGGGACTGCGACGAAGCGGTGTTGGGTCGAGGAGAGGTGGACGTCGAGTCGAGGTTAAGAAACGACATGGCAGCACGATCTCCTTAACAGTTCACAAGGCAAAGGGGTTCTTTGGCTGTGGAGAGGGGCGTGGATGTTTCCTCCGCATTCGACCACGCGAGAAGAGGCCGGGGGATGGAAGCAGCAGCCCTGGATCCTGTCCCCAAACAGAGAACTGGGGTCATGGATAAACTGGGTTATCAGATTCGGGCCAACTAGGAATAGGGTCGACACGTTGATTTCAAAAAAAGGGAGGGAAAGGAAAAAAAAACCCCGGTAGTATCCTTTGGACCAGCCAGGGTTGGGCGGAACTAGGGAAGATCAATTGCTTGGATTCACGGGTGATTGAGACTCCAAGGACGGGACTCTCGCCAGGGGTGCAAGAATGTATGGGAAAGGGATGGAAAACTGGCCAAGGAAGGAAGAGCAGGAGGCAGGGGTTGATATTTAGCTCGTGCCGTGCGTTGGAGTCGGGCCAGGGAAAGAAAAGAGTGCAGCAAAAAGAGAGACAGTCGGGCGGACCTGTCTCGATTGAGCGCAGGACTATTTCAAACAAGGAACGGATGAAAGAATGATCAGACAAGATGCGAATTGGACTGGCGCACAGAGGAGAGACAAAGGGAGAAAAGGAACAGGCAGCAGATGAGGCCTTTTACAGAGAGCGTGGAGAGATGAGATGGAGAGAGGGAATGAGAGCGATAAAAAAAAAAAATCTATAATAATCAGAGAGGTTATGGACGGTAAAAACCCGCTCCTATGTATAGCGCTGGGATGGCATGTTTTCTTTTCAAATGCGAATGGAATGGGACAAAAAAGAAAGCACATCAAAATAAGACTCGTGCTCTGATTACGATTCCCGATTAATTGCAAGCTTCTGAGGAAGAGACGAAAAGCGCAGTTGGATCTCCAGTTTATTCCGCTGATAGACCTCTCTCCACACACGTACGGGGGCTGTATCGAAACAATTGGTTAGCTAGTGAGGTTTAGTGAGGAGTTTCTGAGCATAATTTGGTTGACCACTGCTCCTCTGGCGCGCATCTGGAACGGAACCAGAATCTTTCATGCACCGAACGGGCTGATATTGACGCTATAAGCCGCCAGGGCGCTCCTTATTCGCTTGCTGAGTGCCGTTTCCCACCCTTTCGACGCTCGCTTCGTCCATTGGTGAAACCTGCACTTTATTGATTTTCATGCGAGCCCATCCTTGGACCTTGGGGGAAAAAACACCCAAGTCCAAGTCGGAAGCCCGCCTTCTCAACAAAGGGGGCCTGGAGGAATCGAACGAGGGAGAGGGTAAAGAAAGAAAAAAGGAAGCCCACTGACCCGTAAAATGTTCTAAAAAGAGACCTGAGAAACGGACGATAACCCTGCCCGTCGCCTCAAAACCCTCAAGGGAATTTGAGCAGTGCAGCCAATGAGCACTGGCCAAAATTTGGAAGATGTGTCCAATGCAACAATGGACTGCCTGCACAGCAAATGCAACTGAAAGAATGCAGGACGCTTCCTGGTCAACAATCCAATTATTCGCTTCCTGCTAAGGGCGTGTTTCCCTTGACCGCGGGGCTTGCTTGGTTTTCTTTTCAACCAGAACACGGCCGTCGTGCCCTGTGAAACAGAATCGATGATGTGAACTCGCATCATCGTTCTCAATTGTGGGTTTTATCTTACCAAACATCCCATGTTACCAAACACATACAAGCGCGATTAATTACCGCGGGGCTCTTGGCGTGTATTCCCACTGGAGATAGATTACGTATCTTTCGAAAGCCGTTTGTACGATACGGAACGCGTCGTAATCTCAGGTACAGAAACCCGGGATGCTGGGTGGCCCCTGGCTCGCGGCCCAATCACGGCCCTCGCGCACTGGATCCGCCGGCTGTCCAACCCTCCCATTGGATAGCGGTAGTGGGGCCCCCGCCGGGCTAGTGCCGAACCAGGAAAGGCGCGGGTCGGCGTCCATGCCGCTGGAACAGGGGGCGCGCTCCAGTGTGCGCGGGCGGATTGGTCCAGCGGCCACCGAGAGTTCCCGGACGAGGCCCGTCTTAGCGGTATTGGGGAGCGGTAATCTTTGCACTTTTTGCAGCGCTTCGCTCGTGGATCGGCAGCAGCAAGAATGTGATGGAGTCTATCAGCGGCTGATGCATTCGGGTTCACGAACTTCATCCAGCAGAGATGTTCATAGCAGCGGTCTCCTATTGCCCGTTACGGACAGCTTTAACTTCAGGGATAGCCCGTATCTCCCATGTGTCAGGTTCCTGTTCCTTGCAGCGTGCTGGCCAAAAGTTACATCGACCGAGGACAAAGACCCAGAAGCTCATCCAACACCAACACCGCAGCCCAGGCTCCGCTGTCCCACCAGGGCGTCGTACTCGAAGCGGATATAGGCAGCGTTGTTTACCCATATTATTCCTCAGAGAAAAATCGATGACGATGCGGTGAATGCGAATCGACAAAAGCAATGTTGATAGTCGGAACATCGCGCCAATCTATAATTATTACATACGAGGATAGGCATCGTGTCTGAAGACTTTTTCATCCGTCTGCAGCGAGATAATATTGCATGCCGGAGGAGCTCCAGGGCCAGCACTTGGCGGTCTCGAGGTGCGAGAAGAGATGGGATCTCCTGTATAAGGCTGTTGGCTCACCGTATAGCCCCTCCCAGCTGGCCTGCCCTGCCCTGCCCTGCCCTGCCCTGCTCCGACAGTATGCGGTGCAACAGGTGTGCTCTATTGGGCTGTGGCATCTCTTCGCCGCGGCCAGGCCCCTCATATCAGACTCAATTGCAATATGTATATTTGTTCCTGTGGGAATGCGGTCGTGACCCAGAGTCTCGAGGGATGACTTCCTGGGATTCTATACTTAGCAATTGTCTGTTTTGCAAGGTTCGCAAATTGCCCAACGCGTCTAAAATCCAGCTTCCAAGGCTCCCCAGGGGGGAGGCGGACCTGATCAACCGACTATTGAAAGTTTTTATCTTTATTGTAACTTCACAGTCATGGGATGACAAGCATCGTCTGCTGATCTGCTCCAATGAAACGGGCCTATCGACGACCGTCGATGAAAGACACGGGAACCTCCTGCACCTCCATTTCCCATTTGAGTAATAGTAAAAGGTCAAGAGGCACGCAACCGATAGTAGTCTATCAGCGCGAGCAAATGAGAGCTTGAGCTGACCATAATGATTCATGATAACAGAATCAGTTATTCTCAGGGACAGTGTCACCCAGGTCAAGTATCAAAATCACCATCAGAATTCACAATCATAAGATATCAAAACCGCCAGCTTCACGACCAAGTGGAGAGCAGTCTCGACCCAGCGACCGTCGGAAGTTTTCGAACAATCCAGAATGGTTGAACTCTGTCGACAACCGTTGGAGGTCTGTTGTCCGGCCATCGTCCGACTCGAGCATCAGCATTCGCCCAATAGGCATGTATCCTGATGGCTTTTTTCAAGGGAAAAAGACCATAAAGCTTAGCATCACAGCCTGGTCGCGATGCGATAACCCCACCGCAGGCCACAGAAATGCAAAACTTCGCCAGATTCCTCGGGATTTCGATCTCCTAGCGGCATTCTACGCAGTAGCCAGAATCCTCTTTTTCCCCAGTTTCAAGTCCGTCTGGGGAAACGCTGTCGAGCGTCCATGGAACTCCCCAGTGCCACAGGGCACTAACAAACGCACATGCTTGCTCAAAAACAACTTTTTCGGCGGTTGATGGACCTTGACGGATGGCTGGATGATGGTATGATGAACAAACTCACATGAAAGACAAAAGTCGCGGTCACCGGAACGCAGCGTGTTTCTTGCTGAAAGTCACATTCTCGTCCCTCTCTCATGAGCTCGGCTGCGAGCAGTAACTAGTTGCTCTCGCCCATCGACTCCGCACGAGATTCTGGACGGTATCTATCCTGACCCCTCAAACGGCCACCGCAACAACCCGAGGATCGACAAATCGCCTCTTAAGACCAATTTGTGAAACGGCTCGCGGATTTCGGGCAAGCTGCCTGTGCAGGTGAAAAGCACTGCATGAAGCATGAGAACGTTGATGGACTAACTCCCTTTTGACAAATTCAAAGTCTGGAGAATAGAGGCCGACCGGCTTCACACTGGACTTGAATTCCCGTAGTGCAGTTTAGCCGATGGCTATTCTTACGATTTAGTACATCGCGACGCGGCTGCTCACAGTAGATCAGTTTTGCAGCTCTTTCACCAACGGCTTCTCGAGCGTTGGAGCAGCCTGGCGACCAACATTACATGCTATCACCTTCCAGCTTCGTGCAAGCGTTGCCGCCTGTGAGGATCGAGTTGCTCGCTGACGAACACGAACTGTGATCGACACGATCAAGCCGCTCTCCTTCATTCTTCGCCGAAGGACGTTACGACGGATTCTTAGCCCTGGTCCCTGGACTCCTTGAAACAAATCGCCCTGCATCTGGTCAGGGGGGGAAGAATCAGAACTCGAACATGTTCACGCCGCCCGCCTTCTTCCAGTTTGCATGATCAGCCTTCAGCGCACTTGTTAGTTCGTTGGCTGAGTTCCCGCGTTCCTTGTCGGCCCATCTGCGACCGCCAGCGAGGCCTGCATGCACAAGCACGTTTATCCGGGCTGTTTGCTCCGAGCAGTTTCACATAAAATGGCGTTTCGTAGCCGTGTTTGCTTTTTCTCGAAACATGTATTTCCGTTTCTCCTGTGTTGATTCCGCTGCTGTTAGTTTCAACCTCCCAAGCCCCCCAAGATCGTGCCAATATGACAAGGCAACGCGATGAGACATTTTGGTGCGGTTCTTGAGTCTTTGCGCTCTTGAAACGGGCCCTTTCACAAGACGTGAAACAAACACGTTCCTGGACTGGATCGGGTCAAAAAGTGCCTTGCACGAAGCCACGCGGGCGGGAAGATATTTGTCGCTTTCTTTTTCTTCTCTCGGAGGACGAGATCGACCTCGTGGATGTACCAACTGAGCATGAATTGGTTATGTCATTATTTAGCCGTCGGGACTTTTTTTCAGTGCTTTATTTTTCTTTTATCTTCGGCAATTTTTCCAGCGACAGGGTGTGCATTGGACGCACGGATCCTTCACCAGGCAAAATATCTGTACCAGGAACCCCGTGCAACTTGGGAAAGCAAGCATGTCTTCTGCGCTTGCCTGGATATGGGACCTTTTTGCCACTCTGTCTGAGACGGTGTTTTTAAGAGGGAGAAACAAAGAGCTTCCTCTGGGAGGATTGCTAAGCTCCAGAACCACAGGCTGGTTCCTGATCACTGGGCCAGGAACCCTTGGAATACACCACTTTCGCACAAGGAGCCTACCACACAAAAGGAGACAAAAGGGAGCCCTGGCATCCTCCAAGCAAGGATATTGAGAGTCGGGCAAAGGGCTATCGGCATGGGTCGCAGTTCCTTTCCTTGGTCTTCTGAGCCCCATAGCCGCATGGCGGCAATTGTCTTTCGATCCTTTCTTAAAAGGCCTAGATGTCATCGGGTGTTTTTTTTCCAAAGATGATATCATCCTGAGGCCAGAATAATGTCTATTCCATCCCTGGATAGGGGTGTTTCATGTCGTCGAGCGCTGGCTGTCGAAAAAAAAGGAGATAGCCATTGAGGCAGCCGAGCTGTGACTAGAAACTCATCGGATGTACATAGTTCATCCCCCTTTTTTCATTAGAAACACCCAGGTTGGGATCTTGCGCTTCTTCCCCTTTGCTCCTGAAGATATCTCCTTCCTGCTACCTCGCTACAACTATCTCTACTCAGGATCGGTAAACAGGAGTCACGATGGCAACTTTGCTCAGGAGACCACTTGCCCCCTCGTTATGTTTCGACGCATGTGCCAAACATAGCCTGGTAATATCTTCCAGCATGCTACTTACTCTAAGCTTCCGTATGCCTACTCTTCCAATCCCCGTATCTAACATCACATCACAGGGCATTCTCTCAAACCGGCCCTTGTTCGGCCTATTTTTTTTTATCTAAGATGCTTTTACGGATTTTGCTCTGGTGAAACGGAGCGAGAAGTTTGTGGAACAACCAAAATGGTGAAGGAAATTCTTCAACCTCCGTAATGGCACTAAACGGCTCACTGATCTGCTATCCAACGCCCCATCCTACAGATCAAAGTCCTTAACCGCTAGAAGTGTTGCTGCACTAATCAAATCCAAAGGCTCAGACTCCGTTGTGGCCGTCATACAGACGGAAGCGCCGGTTAATTTTTGCCGCGGATAGGCGACTTCAAACCCAGCCATGCAGCATCCTTGTCTATTTTCTCAATTTTTGCAGCTGGATAAAGTTATCCGGGAACAGTTATTCAGGAACAAGAACGCAATCCACGACGCTGTCGGGTTTTGGGTGTGGTATCAGGCCCCATGTCCAGCCTGATGCATGCGGGACAGGCCAGGATGAAGGTAACCAGAGTGCTAAGGGGCTTTTGACTGGGCGGTCTCTATGCGGATGCACGGAGTATGTCAGGATTTTGACAAATGGCTACTGCCATTCCCTTCTTTTCCGCTTATGCACCTCTCTTCCCTGCGTCGTTCCACACGACAGGTCGGTGAGTGGTCCTCCAGGTGCAACCATCGATGACTGGTATGAAGCGGTGTCGGTCACACTGCCACGATCTCCGGTAGCTCGATCGCACCAGAGAGAACATCAGAGTGTGCAACGGTGTTTAGATTTTAGCCGGGTTGACATTTGGAAAAGCCTGGTGGCCACGCGGTTACACCAAGTCGAGTCGGACCGCATCCGACCCATTATTAGCGGCGAGCAGCATAAAGAAGAAGACCGTGCTGGTGTGGCACATATCACTTGCGATGCTTGTTGCACAGATTTACTCATCTCCCATTGACTCGAGTTTGCTTGGGTAACAATCTCACACCGAGGCAACTAACTAGTTAACTAGTTAATCCTACCTTATTCAACACTCGTGGTGAGCTTGGAGGAAGATGTCTAGCTTTTCACACTGGACGGCTCTCTGCAAGCCTATTCCCATGCGTTACATCGATTCTTGTCCCGAGTATTGCTGTTATTCGACTTCAAAACTAGAGGGTATAGGTTTTTCCCTTGGTTTCACACCAACTCTTTCAGTGTACTGGAATATTTGCACCACATGGAGCAATAATGGCCGGAGATATCTTGCGAATCATACTGGCTTGAACCTCGAGTTTTTAAACTCTCAAAGCCTTGTGGCTCATATCGAGATCCTACTGGCAAGGCAAGACCTCGGGGGCTGTATCACAAACAGCTGCTATGAGTCGGCAGATAGAGGCTGGGTGTGTAAAGATGTCTCAGAAACCTCTTCTGTAGGCTAAGTCACGGCTATTCGGGCCTTACGGGGCCCTGGAGCGTCGACACCGGGTGAGTGCTTTGAGACTTCGAGCACAAAGGAAAATTTGTGAACGATATCGTGAAATAACGGCCTGCTGCAACTGCTGTTCAATAATCAAGCCTTACCGGTCAAATCGACACACTCTGACTGACGTTTCACTGCAAATATCCACTTCTTGGACCCTTTATAAGGCGGTATACAGCCCTGCAACAGCCGCCGGTCGCCTGTAATCGGGACAAAGAATGGAGGTCATTGAAATCCACAGTGACACCTCTCCTTTCGGTCTAGAAAGCTCCAGTCCTGGCATCCAAATACCGCACCTACACTTCCCAAGATGATTCCACAGACGATCTTCCAAATAAGTGTGCCTGGAAGTCTCAGGATTACCCGGCATTCCTATAGCTTGTATCAATGAATCAGTTACACTGGACTCGCACAGCGGCATCGGTGTCACATCATGCAAAAGTCCGCTCGTTGACCAAGCACGGTCCGTCGGCCCCAATCATAACTGGCGGAGGCATGATGCCTTGTCTCTGAGGCCCTTACGAGCATCGTATAGCCACGTTACGAGTATGTATGTGCATAATCGAGTCATCCCTATCACGAAATCCGTTACTGAATTCACATCTCCAGAGGATTTATCTCCGGATCGGTGAATTCTGCGTCACCCACGTGCATGCCCACATCTTTGATGAAGATACAACGGCGTCATCCGTTATGTGGCCCAGAAGCGCAATATCCCGAGAAATGGTTGAGGAAAACATCACTACATATCTCATGCTGACAACATCCCAAACCATAACGATATCCTCGAGCTTGAACAACCCCTGTATGCACTGCAGTGACTTGCACAGAGCTACAGAAATGGAGATTGATGACCAAGTAGCCTGAATCCATGAATTGTACGTGGACGCCTGGTCTCTATTAGAATGGGCTATAGTAAACTATCGTGGGTAGGTGTACTAGATGCTGACATATGTATATTGTTTTGTTACCACTGTAGTTATGTACTAATCACAAGAACATAACCACTAGTTACGGGCTCAATGGCCCAATTCCAAAGGAAGTGTGGATCAACAGCTGGGGCAAACTTCTCAGTGATGGCCGTGCAGTTAGGTCTGGTATATCCCTAGAGATCAGTTTTGATATGCAAAACCTAGGGGTGGCTGCCAAATTCATCTTGTTAACATGTTGGTAGTTAGATTGAACGGACAAAGGGTAGACGGACGCGCGATTGTAAGTACTCATGATTATATCGAAACCAGAAATCGTGACCCGTCCCGGGGACGGCCCAGACGATGCCACTTTCCATCGGGCGATTGGAAGCTTCACATATTCAGCGGCCTGTGCATATTCTCAAAGGGGCTCTGGGGACATAGTTACCAGGAACGAGACACCGGTATAAATGCTCAGTGAGACCAACGAGTTGTTCGGGTTTCGAGTCTGGAATCTCCTTGAACACCAGCTTGAATATCTCTTCATGATGTAATCGAGGATCGGAGCAAAAATCCAGGCAGCATCGATATACCTTACTAAATAGGTCGAAACGATAAAAGCTGCGTTTAAACCCTAGAATCCTGGAAGACAACGGTGCAGCTGCGTGGCTTTGTCCCCGGTGATATCCAACAGATTGAGTATTTCCACCGACGGATGGAATAAAATCATGAGCAAGCAGGTCAACAGTGCTGTGCAATTGGCTTGCCGCCAGAGCCTCCTCTAGAGACCACTTCATCACCCGCCGCGATTCGGAACTAGGACGTTTCGCTGCAATTTCAAAGAACCGCCTTGGATCCCAGTTTCTTTGCAGCGAAGATATCTGCTCGACTGCATACGCTTCCTGTATCAAGTCTGGGCCGATTTCATTATTCAGGACGGAAGTGATGATGGTATCTCGGTGGTTTTCGTATGCTAACCTGATAGACTGGTAAGCTTGGATAAGTGCGGCTAGGGTGGGGATATCGGAAATGTTGCGGAGAATGTGTTGCTGGATTTCAATGGAGTAGGTCACCAGTTTGGGCGTAGGTGAAGTCGACGCCATCGCTCAAGAGCTCTAGCTTCTTTTCCAACCAATGCTCATGGGAAAGGGGCCTGGGTAATATGTGTGTAGTGGTAGAGCAGCCTATGCCGGCCGCGTTGATATCTTTCTTTGGCCCAATAAGCTAGGGGCGGTGATACTGACAGCTAGCAAGTAGCGGATAGTTCCCAAGGTTCCTAAAATATCACTGTTACTGAAGGCTTCAACGGCGATCAAGAGAACTGAGCTCAAGGAGTTTTTAAGGGGAGGTTGATAGCTGACGTCAGAAGATGACTGCTCTTCCGGGAAACACTGTCATCTTCCTCATCGATCCGGGGGGCCAGTTTACCTGGCGAAGTAGAAAAACTGTAAGGCTGATTGACTTTCAGCAAAAGGCAACAGGCTGAAATTTCTGGAACAAACCTTTTGACCATATTGTACAGATAGCATATAACAATGGCACGCTGCTAACAGACAAGGAACAAAAACGCCAGCCCATGTTCTGCCCTGCACCCGAGAGACAATCTTAAGGGGGAAAATGAGAGACCAGATAAAAGTAAATTGAAAGTCATAAAAAAGCACCAAGGGGGCAAACATCACAATATGCACGAAATAGTCAGGTAGTAAGATGGAATGGCTCCCTGCTGGAAGATCGGTGAAGGATTCAGTCCTCGTCTCCTTGGTCTCGCATTTCGGTGTCCAGGTCTGCATCTCCACCAGCCTTCGCCTCGTTTTCTTCGCTGGCCGATTTCTCACCAAACAAATCATCTTGTTCGTCTGCCGGTGCAGGCGCAACGTCACCCTCGTCCTCATCCTCATCCTCTTCGTCCTCGATTCGCAAGTTGACCTTCTTACGCCTTCGCGAAACCATCGCATCTTCGTCTTCCTGCTCAGCATCTCCCACGTCTCCCATTTCTTCGTCTTCTGCCTTTTCAATGGGCTGGTCTTCATCCGGAGTTGGCACCGCTTCTCCCTCGTCAGTTTCGGATTCAACAACAATTTCACTACTCTTGTACTTGTTCGACTTGGCTGTAGATCTTCTTCCCAGGCGTCTCCTCTTCCTTGGGGCAGGCTGGTCTTCAGCGTCAGAAGTGGCGGGTGTGCGAGAACTAGTGGTGCTTTTAGCCCTCGATTTTCTCGATGTCTCTCGTTCCTCTCCATCCTCCCCCTTCTTCTTTCGCTTGGCCCCCGAAGGCCGCTTCTTTCTTTTAATCTTGTCCCCAGTTTCGGAATCTGTGGTGTACTCGGCAGCTTCCCTGGCTTTCTCCTCTTCTGTACGAATGGCTGCGAGCCGTTGGGCCTCTTCGACCATTCGCTGTCTTTCTTCAGCGATCTGGCGTTTCCTTTCTGCCTCCGCCTCTTCGAGTTTACGTCTCTCTTCTTCCCTTCGCTTTTGTTCAGCCTCACGAGCCTCCCTTGCCTGTTGCAACTTTGCGGCGTTCTTTTCTTCATACTCTTTTTGACTCTGCAAAGCGCGCTGAAGTTGGTTAATGGTCGTATTTTTGATCATGTTTGCTCTCTGTTCAAGCGAGATCGGTGGATAGGGAGGATTTGGTGCTTTGGCGATTTTCTCAAAAGTCGCCACAGCTTCCTCAAGCCCACCTAGAGCTTCCTCGATTTCTTGAGAAGTCTTTTGTGTCTCGGGAAGATTCGATGCGAGATGAGCTATTTCGTTTTGCACAAACGCAAGGTTGAAGTCAAGATGTTTCTGCTCAGGCGCAACAGAACGAGCGCGTTGGGCATATTCCAAAGCCGTCTTCATTGAAGCTATGCTTCGCTCTTGTTTACCCTTGAGGAACCATACACGACCAAGGCAGGAAAGAATCTGCGGGTCTCTAGCTCTATCTTTAGATAAAGCGATTTCATACTGGTTTCTAACTTAGTCACTGTCATACTTAAAAAGACGCGTGCATGGGGTACTTACATTTTCAATAGACTTTGAAAACTGTCTCAATTCTGCAAAGACGTGACCCAAGTTCAGGTAAACGCTTGCGTCACGTATGGAGTCGCGAACTTTAGAAAATATCTGAACTGCGGTTGAGAAATCTTTCTTGTCATCGACTAGTGCGATCGCGATTCCCTGGGCGGCATATGCATTCTTCGGATCCAACTGAAGAGCTTTATCGAAAAATTCAACCGCTCGATCATACATCTTTCTCCGCCTCTCTCGATCTTGTTCCCCATCTCGTCTCATATCTCGAGCCGCCATTAGGTGTACGTTACCCATCCCGGTCAAAGCGTATCGATCATGTTTATCATACCCTAGAAGGGTATGTTTATAGTGGCGCTGTTCGTGATCTTCTGCGATATTCGCAGTTCGGCGTTTAGACTTGTTGAGATACCATCCAAAAAGAGCTCGAACCTCCAAGTTGGTAGCATCTGCTTCATAAAGCTTCGCCATTTTTTTTGGGCCTTCATCGGTCGGGCTTTGACGAAGGGACATGTACGTCAACCGAGCATTGGCTTCGGAATAATCTCCATGTCTCTTCAAAAGTCCTTCGTACACTTTTTCGGCTTCTTCGGGCAACCCTGCGGCCTCGTAGGTACGCCCAAGATTGTAACTGATAGTAGTCACAAGCGCGTCTGTATCGGTTCCATCGTCCTTCTCCTGCGTTTTCACGCATGCATTGAGGGCAGTTTGGAACATATTTCTAGCTTGTTCAATTTTGTCGGCCTGATAGAGAAAGCAGCCCATGTTGTTCAGTAGCTGAGGAGCTAGGCGTTCTCGGAGGATATTAGTCATAGCTTCCTCGCCTTCCACATCGTCTGGCTTGTCTGAATCAGGAATCTGAGCAAGCTGTATTTGCTCAATTTGAGAAAGGCATTGCATGCTTTTTTCAGGGGCAGTCGTCTCGTACAAACGGGCAAGATAAAGCAGGACAGATATATCAGGGGATATTTTCTTTTTTTCATCCTTCCACGAGGCGCGAACAGCTTCAAGTAGGCTCGTGGCTTTCTTGATTTCCGCGGATTTGTCTTCCTTGTTGGCACTGTTTGCAACTTCGAAGACCTCTTCAGCGTAAAGAGAGCCCAGCAAAGTCATTGCCTCCGGATTTTTCTTTTGCTGAACTATCTTCTCAAGCCTGAATTTCGCGCCATCTTTATCTTGTGACCTAATTTGCATCTGTACCGCGCCGAATTTAGCGGGTAGATATCCCTTGTCGGAACCGCCTCTTGCCTGGTCGGCACGGTTGTAATATTCCTGCGCCTTCGCTGGATCACCTTCCTCATGTTCTTTGCGCGCTAGCAAATACCAGCCATCACTAGCTATGGCATTGACATCAGTGAGTTCAATAGCCTTTCTTGCGAGTGCCTCAACTGTCGGGAAATGTCTGCGGAGGAGGAAATAACCACCGAACATAGCGCATGTCATCGGGTATTCCTTATCGAGTTTAAAAGCCTTTTGGGTGTACTGGGTCATGGCGAGTTTGTATAAGGAACCAAAGGAAGGGTCCGTCGTCGAATGGCGCGAGCTATCGTGAAGATAATACGCTGCAAGGAGGATATTGGCAACTTTCGACTCTGGGTTCTGGAAAGAGTTAGAAGAATTCACGTGAATAGAAAGAAGGGTCGGGGCTCGTTACCAGAGCAAGAGCACGGTTCCAAGCAGCTTTAGCTTGATCCTTAAAGTCTAGCTGCCATAGACAGCAGCCGATACCGATACGAGGATCCGGGTCCCTCATTTGTGGCATTTTCATCAAAAGTTCTTGATAGCTTTCCAAAGCTTCATTATACCGTCCGAGCATGTAGTACGCCCTTGCACGACCTAATATGGCCATAAAATTTCGATTTCCGGACGCTTTCGAGGATTCGTCGAAGCATTTTAACGCTTGTCGTAGAGATTCTACTCTCTCAGATGTGTCGACAGAGCCGGGTCTGACCGCTTTAGCTGGAGGCTGTAATGAGGCGCGTAAGAGGGATAGGACGCCGCGGGCAAGGAAAAACGGTGGAAAAGCTGGATTCAATCGATAAGCTTCATTAACAGTGGCTGTAGCGGCTTGGAGATAATAATCTTTTGTTCTAGCTTCGGAGAGTAACTGCCCCTCCGGAGCGACTCTAGGGGCTTGTCTGCTCTTAAGCAAGTATATCCAGCATATCCAGCTCAGAAGGCCGAGCTTCTCATTTGACGCGCCATGAGGCAAGGATGCGATTCCGCGATTGAGGATCTCGATGGAGAGGTCAAGTTGGTTATGTTTAGCATAAGCGAGTGCGATTATTACCCAGAAATTTTTCGAAGCTTGTTCGTTGTCAAGGAGGGTGCAGAGCTCGGTGGGATCTTCGGGGAGTTCTTCAAGGCTGATTTCGACTTCGGTGTCGAACGAGGACGCCGGAATGTCGATAGCCGAAGGGATGTCGGAGAATCGAGGTTTCGCTGAAAATGCATCAATTGCATTTTCCACTGCGACAGTGGTGCCATTTACGTAGCCATTCCGAACAGATGCCATCGCGAAGTTGGCGCGCAAAAGCTTGAGGAGCTGTAAATGAGGAGGTTTGGTGAAGGCCCACCGATGAGTTTTAGACCACCATCACCGCACAGTTATGAGGAAGAGCACTGAAGCAGAGATCTAAAGGATTTGTCAGGTAACAAAAGTCTCAGCGAGGGGGGGTAGTAACAGATGCACACAATAACAGATGCACACAAGAACAGAGGGAAGAGACGAGCTTTCTCCGAGATGAATGGGAGTCCTTGTTGAAGGGTGGTTAATTACCTAAGCAGTACCAGCATGAGAATTGCATTAGTCATCCACTCTCCGGATACAAAACTTCCCGTACAGGAGCTTGGGTATGGAGGGCATAGTAAGGAATGGAATCATCAGTTCTGCCAAAAACATTATTCCAGTTATTATCTTCATTTATTAGTGAATATCAAAACGACGCCAATCGCCTTGCTATAGATAGTCTCGAGAAAACCATTGTTACCCAAAATAAAGCAGTAGCGCAATCCAACAAGTTATAGTCAGAATAGGAACCAGAAGACTAACTCCAAACTCTAGGGACGAATCTGAGGACGAGGCCGAGCGCGATGAGAATTGTGAAGATCTTTGCAGCTTCAGCCCAGTGCCCTAGTTTAATTTCGCTTTCAATGTATCCGTTGTTGGGGATATTATTCGTCTGCTCACTGGCTTCCTTGGTTGCTGTGTTCGAGGCCGACATGTCTTCAAATGGCGGGAAACGACCAGTTTCAATAAACTGATCGAGTAGTCTATCCTTTTCCTCCCATCGTTTGTAGATCCAATCTTCAAATTCCTTTTGATCAGTGAGTGGAATGTCTGAGATGGAAAATCGTCGCCAGTAAAAATTCACGGATTTTGGAGGGCGCCCTCGCAAATACGTAGAGCGGATGGTAAAGTGGGCTTCGGCGTAGCTATCCTTCCTATTTTTCTGTTAGCGAAAGTTGCAACCAGGAAACACACGGGACTTACGGTTGGCCTTCGTAGCCTATCGTACAGTCGTATACGTAGTCGACGGTTCCCCTGAGCTGCTGCAGGCAAAAGAACAAGCCAGTGGAACGGGGAAGGAGTATGTGTTTGGATGGGGCGATTCCCTGTTTCTGGCAATAGGCATCGCTTCTATCTTTAGTGTTTCGAGATAGATTTGTGCCTTCAGGGAAGATCAGCAGCCACATGGGGTCAAAGAGTGGTAATCCCTCAGGAGAAACCCCATGCTTGGTTTTCAATTTTTGCAGGCGATGCTGTAACCGTGGTTTATCCTCGATCCATTTGCGTGCCATGAAGATAAATCCATAGAGCATCATCCCTTGCCCGATAAAGGGAATGTATTTAAGGGATTCTTTCAAAATAATGTAGATATATCCGTGCATGTCGTTTGTGTATGTCACCCACCACAGATACAGCCAATCAGTATAGACCTGATGATTCGCAATCAAAACTAACCGCTCGGGGAATTTCGTTGCCACCCTCCCGTCTTTTAATAGGCTGAATTGGCCCTGTACACTGCTATCCCCGCTGATACGGACAGGTGTTGGACTGCACCATTCTGTGAGTGCCGTGATCGTAATGCCGAACGAGCGTTTCGTCATCGCCATATATGAGTAGAACCATCGTTTATTGATCAAATAAAGGGGTAAGCCGACAGCCTGGGTGACCACAATAGAAAAGCAGCAACAGTTGAACCATGCTAGGATCAGCAGACTGCGGATTATCTGAAGAAACAGCCCATAGTCCTTTTCAGGTCTGGCATATTTGTGTCGTGTGGTCTCCGGCTGGGACCTCGTTTTAGCCGACGGGCCCGGTTCTAGTACCGGCGGTTTACGCCGTATCGGACCGTTAGACGACATGTGGGTTATTTTCTGATATATAAAGAAAGTGAAAGCGGATGGCAAGCTGTACAGAGGCTTGCCGGTTGGAAATCGTCTGCGATCTTGCTGGAGGGTGGACTTTCGATGTCAGTGATGAATTATAGGAGAAGGGCTGCTATAGCGAGATCTATAAACCGGAGCATAAAATGAGCGTAAGCCTACTGCTTTTGTCGCCTATTCATTTCCACTCATCGCGAGACGGAGTGGGTGTATTGGCAGGGGAAGGCCACAAGAGTGGGAGCAGGAATCCAGGGAATCTAAAGGTTCAGGTCTTTTGAATAGCGAGCAGTGAATCGTCACACAGAAGCCCCGACAGCAAGGCAAACCCAGGGAGAAGTAGCGGTGATGTTTGTTGGGAGTTGCCTGCTGTCGAGATGGTCCTGCTCGCTTCACCTGCATTGAGGAGCTTCAGCAAATCGGGACGCAGCATTGGCAGCTAACCTTCATACGTCAGAGCATGTGACCCACCGGGATGGTGAGTCAGCATAAATGTCTTGGCATCAGGTTGGAGTCGAAACGGGCTCTCATCTGATCATCTTGCATGCAGGATGTGTTTCTTCTGGATCAAGTCCTGTCTCGTTGCTCGGTTGCAAGGATCTTTAAACCTCTCTCTTAGCTAGATTTACTACTTGGCAACTCACCATGCTTCATTCCCCCACAGCTCAACGTCCCTGCTAGCATTTATTGGTAAGTCTCAACCCGCCACTTTTTGATCTCATAGTTGCCTTGAGGCGGATTTTCGAGAAATTGATGGCTAAGCTAGTATGTAAGGTTAGTTTATTCATCTCGCACGACGTTTTCATCTCAAATGAGGAACAAGTTGCAGCTGCCTAGTCGCTTTTTGTACTTTTCCTACGCTGAGCCAAGTTGGAAGCATGATGCTCACTTTCCAACGGCAGTCACCGGCTCTACTCACAAGGGTCGTGACCAAGCATCGCAAATTCTCCAGTGCAAGCCGTCTGCAAAAAATAAAAGATATAAACACGCTACCGGATCGTATATTTCCGCGGTACGAAGGTGTGCGTTGAAATCTGCCCGTACGGATCCGTCAGAATTACTGGCTGTACTAACACCGTTAATATTGGCAGAGTCTAAAGGAAGTGATTTGCTGGCTTTGCAATGGCCGGCGCCGCCCCAGAACATCCTTCTGGTGAGGAAGAAAGGGGCCCCCGCCGTGACTCAGTCTGTAGTAGAGCTCGCGAAGTTTGTTGCTTGCCCTAGTTTAGCAAAGGCCACACTAATTGAGATTTAGCCATATCAAATCTATCTACTCCCCGATATCCATCATACTGGAGCGAGACACTGCGAATGAGATTCATAGTGCTCTACCGTTTCCGGTGTATACCAACACTGCCTCTACAAACATGCCTCCCGAGAAGGTGGACTTGATGGTCACATTGGGTGGTGATGGGACGATATTACGGGCATCATCCTTTTTCGCAACCTCCAAAACTGTTCCGCCAATCCTCTCATTCAGTATGGGCACGCTTGGATTCCTTGGAGAATGGAAATTTTCTGAATACAAAAGTGCTTTTCGGGAGGTATACATGTCGGGTGCGGGTCTCGGAGAGCGTGCGGCGGTGCTTGATCATCCGCCAGACGTGCGCGGCGAGCAGACGGCCGATGGGGTCGGGTCAAATTGGTCTTCGCTTCGTGGAATGTCTCTGGGATCGGCCCGTAGCGCACGGATCCTGGTCAGAAGCAGGATCAGAGTCGGGCTCTTCACCCCGGATGGAAAGCCGGTGTATAGCAATGGCGTGGTCATGTCGTCACCTGCGGATGACGACGCTGGGGTATACGCCATGAACGAGGTAGTCATCCATCGTGGCAAGCAACCACATCTTGCCATTGTTGAAGTGTACGTTGGTGGTCGCTTTCTCACTGAGGCGGTTGCGGATGGAATGATCATATCTACCCCCACTGGGAGTACCGCTTATAGCCTTAGCTCGGGCGGCAGCATTATTCACCCTCTTGTCCCGTCCCTACTGTTGACTCCAATCTGTCCGCGGAGCTTAAGCTTTCGGCCATTAGTCATTCCATCTAGCACCCCTGTGACGTTGCGATTGAGCGAAAAGAACCGCGGTGACGAGGTGGAAGTGAGCATCGACGGTGTTCTCGTCAAGCAGGGACTAAGAGTCGGCATGGAGATTCGTGTTTGGGGAGAGGAGATCAAAGTAGCCGACGGAGCCTGGCACGGAGGCATTCCATGTGTGATGCGCAAGACGATTGGGAATGCTGACGCAGCTGACGGGTGGGTTGGGGGTTTAAACGGGCTTTTGAAGTTCAATTATCCGTTTGGGGCTGAGCCGTAACAACCGCTCTGTTGAAACCCCAAATCGGGTTTTTGTATACAGGGCTGGGTGCTCGACCACATCGGCTCTGGCTCAAGTGACACTTAGAACCGAGACTTTCCCGAGTCTAGTGAGTTGTTTTGTCCATTTTTCGTCTAGGCTGGATAATTTCGAAACGAGCGAGATTTCAATCCTGTCGAATTTATCTAAAACGGCCCTTCTTTCGAGTCAGTTGTTCGGACCAATACGTTTCAGCTTTGTGATGCCCTGCCATGAAAGGTTAAAATGAGCCGTCAGGGCCACCGGGCCCTCGTATTCTGCGATGATAGGCGCCAGGGGTTAATCAGATAAGCCCTATAGTCAAACCGACTGGCGGAGTTTACTCTAGATGCGGTAACTTGAAGATGATATCCCAAATCCCTCGCATCCCTCGAACTGTAACTCGGACTGTGGAGGACGACCGCAAAGCCCTCTGAGGCCTGAGATAGATACGAGTCTTTCTCCCATGCAGCTGCTGTCCTGAGACAGCAAGTCAGAAAAGTGCTTGATTAATAATAGCTACAGAACAAACCAGGGCACCAAGATGAACCCCTTGCCCAGGGAACAGGACAGATTAGGTTTCAGAAGAATTGGGGAAGGGCTCAGGAACAAAAGGGTTCAGCCTCTCCTGTGCTCACAGACAGCTCTGTAGTGATATCCAAGATGAAGATTAACATTATTAGCTGCAGGACACAGCGTGTAAGCTAGCCCTGGTCTCCCCGGCTGGCAGACGCACTCCAGAAGGCATCGTGGAATAAAATGTGTTGGCGCTGTCAAATCCCCAGTGTGTGATTACACGCTAAATGAGGGTCCCGCCACTCGGCCGCCCCCATGTTCAGTGAATTAACTAGTTAGTTAGCTTATTAGTGCCAGCCGACAGCCAACTCCAACCCATCCATCTTGAGCCTCCACAAAGGGGGTTGGACGACCTGTGAATCAATCAAATTTGCTGGCTTCCTGTCTCTCCCTCTTCATTCTTTTTGGGAGCACTTCGTTCTCTGCCCCAGCAATCACGCTGTGGTCTCTCTATTGACATCGTCACTATTGTGTGCCACCGTCAACTTCATGGCCGGACCCTCACTTCATCCACTCCAGGCCTCCCCTCTGACAACACTCAGTCGTTAGGATTGTCATCACTGTCCATATTGCACCTGGCTGATTAGTGCAAGGCATTCGTTTCCTTGGCTAAATCCGCGAGTGCCACCTCCCGCCTGGCTCTACCTGCGTCTATCGAGTGCGATCTGCCATCGTGCCTCGGCCGCCGCCAGCGAAGAATAAAGGTAAGTTCAAAAGCCACAGCCTTATATCTGGGGATGAATTCACGGAGCGTGTTGTATCTATACATCCCTAGACGCCTGCTTCTCTACAACATGGTTTTGAGGCACTGCGTTGGCGAGAGGTGCAGAAGCATTGCATTTACTGACTATCTACTACACTGCAGTTCATGACTATTCTCCCTGCCTCCAAGCAGTTGACGCGTGAGATAGCCGAACCGACAGATATACTTTTACTACTCACATGAGTAGCACAATTCGTTATTGAAAATGGATTCTCAGAAGTAAGTTGGCCCCCTACTTTGGGTTCTGCGGCTGGCTCTACTCTTTGGCTACATCCGGCCACAAACCCCCAATACTCCTATCCCTGCACATCCAGTAGCATGCTGGTTATTGACTATAATACTGATTTGACTGATATATAGTGTTTACTCGCGGGACCAGTTCATGAATCCTGGGCCTGCTCCTCGCCCACCCACCGACCGACCCCGCCTAAACACTGCGTCCACCGTTTCTACCGTATCAAGTGTTCCTACGAGTTTTAGTCAAATGTCCTTGAACTCACCACCTACACCCACCTTGTCCATTTTCCCGAATTCGAGCACGCTTTCTTTGAGCCAAAAGAGTGGCCAAGGCGGGGTCGCTGTGATAAAAGAGGGATATGTTCGTTGCAAGGAAGATAAGTTCTTGGCGAGCTGGAACCAGCGGTATCTTATCCTTCGGGAATTTAAACTCGAATTTCTGAAAAATGAGACGGGCAAAGTGGTATTGTCCATCCCAATTGAATAACATCACCAATGTCACGCGTTCAGAGGACACGAGAATGGCGTTCGAAATCACCCGAATCGCCAACCCGAAGGATGCAAATAACCGCGCCGCTCTTGCAAGTCGTGATATTGCGACGAAAACAATCACTTGTGAGGTCAAAAGTGACGACGAAATCTATGAATGGATTGACAAAATCTATGAACGCTGTCCGGGCATGGGTGGTGTCAGTAATCCGACCAATTTCAGTCATCGTGTCCATGTCGGATTTGATCCGCACACCGGCGCCTTTGTTGGGCTTCCAGCAGAGTGGGAGAAACTCCTAACGGCATCCGCTATCACTAAAGAGGACTACAAGAAGAACCCACAGGCCGTCATTGAAGTGCTTGAATTCTACTCCGACATCAAGAGGCG